ATACAGAGAAGAAATTGGAGAATTTAAATATTTATATATTAATAATTAGGTTATACTACCATAATATTAAAAAACGTATCATAAAAAATATATATATATATTTAAATTAAATGTAAACTAAGTATAACTTTTGAAAAAGGAAAAAAGATCCTCTTAGAAATAAAAGAAAACGTTCAACAAAAAAAAAATAATTAATGACAATTAAATTCAGAAATAGTCATTAATTAAACATATACAGAGAGAAAGTTGAATAATTCAAATATTTATATCTTAGTAATTAGGTAATTAATATCCTAATATGAAAAAATGTATCATAAAATATATATATTAAATTAAGTGTAAACTAATTATAACTGTAGGGAAAGAAAAAAAGATTCTCTTAAAAATAAAAAAAAAAGTGTTTAAGGAAAAAAAGATAATAATTAATGACAATTAAATTCAGAAATAATTGGTAATTAAATACATACGGAGAATAAGTTGAAGAATTTAAATATTTATATCTTAATAATTAGGTTATTAGTACCGTAATATGAAAAAACGTATCATAAATATATATTTTTTAAATTAAGTGTAAACTAAATAATAATAATAATAATTAATGACAATTAAATTCATAAACAGTTGATAATTAAATATATATATATATATATATATATATATATATATATAGAAAAGGAGTTGAAGAATTCAAATATTTATATCTTAGTAATTAGGTTATTATTATTGTAAAATAAAAAAAAAGTATCATAAAATATATATAATTTTTAAATTAAGTGTATTCTAAGTATAACTTTTAGAAAAAAGAAAAAAGATCCTCTTAGAAATAAAAAAAAGTATTCAACAAAAATAATAATAATAATTAATAACAATTAAATTAAGAAATAGTTGGTAATTAAACATATACAGAAAAAAAAAGTTAAATATTTCAAATATTTATAACTTAATAATTTAGTTATTAATACCATAATATGAAAAAAGTATCATAAAATATATATATTTTAAATAAAGTGTAACCTAAGTATACCTATAGAGAAAGAGAAAAAGATTTTCTTAGAAATAAAAGAAAGTATTCAAAAAATAAATAAATAATTAATGACAATTAAATTTAGAAATGGTTGGTAATTAAAGAGAATAAATTGTAAAAAATTCAAATATTTATGTATCCGTCCATCAAGATCTGAAATTAATTATATATTTAATTATTTATATTATATAAATAGGCCTTTGTGAAAACAATAACAACATCAGAATACAAATTAATCTGCTTCTTTGGTCTTACGTTTTTTTTTTTGTCAAATTAAAAGTATGGAGAAAGCTTCGGTAAATGCCGGTCTCTTAGTTCTGATGATTGTTACTTACTCATGTAAGTTCTCTCCCTTCCTAAACTTTGGATCTTAATTCATATTTGCACCCATATACATCCATATAGTTCATTTTTCTTTTTCAGTTAAACCCATATATGTACACACCCATATACACACACACGCACACACACCCCCCCATATAATTCATATTTGCACCTCTACGCAAATACGCCCATACGCACACACACACACCCATAAAATTCATATTTGCACCCACATACAAAGACCCATACACACACACACCCATAAAATTCATATTTGCACCCACATACAAAGACCCATATACACACATACCCATAAAATTCATATTTGCACCAACTTACAAAGACCCATACCCATACACACACACACCCCCATAAAATTCATATTTGCACCCATACATACACACACCCATGTAATTCATATTTCCACCCATACATACACACCCATGTATTCGCGTCGCACATCTCCATGATTAATATGTATAAGATATTAGTAACAAAATTTTATGCGCGTACACATAATTTTCAGGTATTTCATTTGCTAATCTAGCAAATGCAGAAACTCAGTGTTCTGAAAATTCTGACTGTATTGGAAAAATCAAGTGTCCTTTTGATAGAATTACCTGCTCAAATGGTCAGTGCAAATGCATAATTCATAAACTAGCAACAAATGAATCTCGGTGTTTTGAAAATTCTGATTGTATTGGAAAAATTAAGTGTCCTTTTGATAGAATCACATGCTCTCATGGCCAGTGCAAATGCATAATTTTTGAAGTGGCAACGAATGGACCTCAGTGTTCAAAAAATTCTGATTGTACTGGCAAAGTGAAGTGTACTTTTGATCGAATTACCTGTTTTAAGAGACAGTGCAAATGTACTACTGATGTAAATTGATTTAAATAAGTTATTTTAAATTATTATCAGAAATACTTTTCAATAATTAAATAAATATACATTAAAATTTTTATCATTTTCTATTTTTTAAAGTTAATTCTCTAAACCACATCATTTCTTATTTTCAATTCGCAAATTTAACTTAGTACGGATAATAATCACAAGTATATTCACTTTCCACTTTAAAAAAAAATTATAAAAAAATTACGACATTAGTTAAATTTACAACGCAAAATGACATCGTTCGTCAGCAAAATTGGGAGCAGAAACCCTTGAGAAATTGCGAAGCAAATCAGCTTATTCTTTGTCAATTACAGTTCCACCGTCATCGAAATTGAGAGCGTAGCTATGAGGATCATACTGAAACCGATTCTTCTGTTTCTTGCGTGAATTACCCATTTTTTAAATGAAATCCTTCCATTTTGGCCCCGCCACTAGCTCCGAAAACTCCTTTATCTCCTTCAGTTTCCTCGCCCACCATGTCTCTCTGTGGTCGCCGTTTTGGTGCACCAAATTGTTTTGTCCTGATCCGAAGTCGTTATTGACTTGATGCCATTTGGAAGTGAAGACTCGGAAGCAATGGCATCTCCACTATTCCATACGTTTTCTTTATAGTCACCCGTTCTTTCTTCGTGTTCTTCGACCGAGAAAAATGTTACTTTCTCTGGAACGACGGCCATGGTAGTCCGAGGTGGTTGTTAATTCTTGCAATGGTAGGGCAATGAATGACGTCTCTTTTTATACTTGAGAGTAGAGAGAGGAAGTTTCGAAGAAATTGGCAAGGGTCAGCTTGATGAGGAGGCTGGAAAAATATGGTGAAAGACCACTAGGGTTTTTGGACGAGTAACTCGGAAGATTTTTCAATGATTACGTGTCTCCTTACCATTGGTCCGTGTTAAAGAGTTTGTTACAGTAACATTTTTGTTTTAAGTTGATTTTGAAATATATAACCAAATTAAGAAAAATCTTGGGAGGAGGTTAAAACATTTCTAATATAGTTATAACCTGCAAAGCGGTATTTTAAAGGAGTGAGTCATGATACTGGTCAATCATGGAAACTAAACAAAATGGAGAACCAGAAAAGTCAAAATGGAGAGAGCCTATATATAACTAGTAGGTCAGATTATCTAATTCCTCTTGATTTATTCTTCTGTTACAGTGCATCTCATGTCATTTAAACCAAACAATATATACTCTTTTATTTCTCTTCTCTTATTTATTTATTGTATGCTCATTGAGCTATTAAAATTAAATCATCAAGAATTGAAAAAAAATAAAATATTAAAAAAAATTGAAAAAAATTATAAAATTGTTCTGGAATTCTTTTGAAATAATTAATGCAATTAAATCTATATTGTGTTAGTTCGGAAAAATTCAACTATAAACTTCGTATTTTCTTAATACATTTTCCTTTATATATATATATATATGTATATAAAAAGATGAGCAGAAAACTAGAGAGTGAAAATGCGATGGCAGATCCCAATGAGTTGTATTTCTTCATCATTTGAATCGCTTAAAACTTCCCTTCTTATTTGCTATTACACTCGCAGCACCTCTCATACGGTTGGGTTTGCCCAAATCCAGCAACTCCGCCGTCGGCAAAAAACCCGTCTGAGTTCCGTCACTATCATTATCCATGTCCCCTTCAATTGTCAATCCTTCTATTCTTGCTGCAATCGAATCCCCTAATTTCAGCTTTACGTCTATATCTGCATCAAATATTTGGATCCGTTAATGGAATTAATCAGTTTTCTATTCTTCAATTTCTAATTGGGAGTTGAAGAGAGAGAGAGAGAGAGAGAGAGAGAGAGAGAGAGAGAGAGAGAGAGATGTATGAATGTAATTCATGCGCGGGGAGAGAAGGAAAATGATTAATTAGTACCTGGAGTAGAGAAGAACCAGAGGATTAGGGCACAGAGGAAGAGAACAAAGGGAATGACATGAACGGCGTTCTCAGCAAATTTAGAGCGCGGCTTCTTCGATTCCGTTTCGGTGTTGGAATCATATGGAGGTGGCTCTCGATCATCCCCGTCCGTCACCGACGACGGTCTCATCGCCGGCGATGAGTGCATGTAGTAGTCATCGGCAAACCGGCTCCAACTGTTTGATCTATACATTTTTCTTTTCTCTTTGGAGATTTTAATACGACAGAAAAATAATAATAATTCGATTTCTTACCAATTAGATGCAGCAGATGTTCTTGCTGTTATTATCAAAAGACGAAATTGAAACAGAAGTATAGAACATAAAAAGCTTTTCGATTGATCTGTGGTGAAAAAAAAGTTTTTTTTTTCTTTTTTTTTAATAAATAAATAATCCACTTTTATCTTTTCACAGTTGTATGTGACTTAATTTAAGCTCCAACAATTTGGGATCGGAAAATGGACTTTTTCAAACTCTTGAATAACTTTTTTATTTTTTTTTTTATATTTATTATAGTTGGAATAAACCCACAAGTTGTAGTTAGATTAATTTTTAGGCTATTTTAAGACAAAATTAGGTTATTATTCTTCTGAATAATTTTCCTGAAATACAATAACAAAAATATAATTAGTTGTAGAGCTTCTCTTCTTTTTTCTGTTTGGCAAAAGAAGAAAACAGAGGGCTTCTTTTCTCTTCTCTTTTCTGTTTGGCAAGAAGGAAAACAGAGCTTTCCCTCAAATTATCTCCAGCATAGAGTGGAAAGCAAAGAATCAATTAAAGAATATTAAACTGAAACCAAGTTAATAAAACTCTATTTTTATAACTCTCATCACAATAATATAACATTACCAATACATCTGCTGCTCTGATTCCCTTATTATTACTTGATTAACATAAGGACGAAAAACCCATTTCTCACCCTGTTCTCTAAATGAAAACACAGAAGAAAAAATGGGTTTTACTAACAGAGGATATTGGAATGCCGACCCATATTTGTACATTTTTTTTTTTATTTAAACTTTTTTTTCTAAGAACTATTTTGCATTTGTCTTTTAACATCTCTTGCTACTTCTCCAGCCTGATGGTGTCGATGAAACGCTTACCACCAGATATATCAGTGCTGGAGAGAAAATCAAGAAAATCCCTGAAGCTACTTTCCTTATACTGCAAAGGATTCTGGTTGTCGACTAGTTCCATGGCGGCTCCCATAACATCATCCATTCCCAAACTATGGAGACTGGTTATGGAAACTCTTGTCTTGTCGGAGTTCAGAGTTGCTCTGTGCACAACACTTTTGTATCTGCCATTGCTGAGTACCTCAAGGTGATCACCTACGTGAACCTGCAGTGCGCCATGCAGTTCCGGCACTACTTTCCAATTTCCGTCTTCCTTGTCGAGAATCTCCAGTCCCTGTAAGCTTTGAAGAAGAATGGTCAAGCAGCTGTAATCTGAGTGAGGCGGCAGCCCTAAAGCCACCTCTGGTTCTGGACATGGCGGATAACAGTTCACCGCCATCACTTGCATCCCTTCTTCCATTCTGTTTCCCAAGTAGTCTGATCCTAATCCAAGGCTCTCTGTTATGGCACCCATTAGTTCCAATGCTACTCTCCTCACTTCACTGCAGTATTTCCCCATTTTTTTCCTGAGATAATGAAATACATAGTTACACTCTACATATGTATATATATCACAAAAGGGTATCTGGGTGTATGTATTTTTCACAAGACTAAGTTCATTGCATCTGTTGTTGTAATGGGCAAGCTTTAAATTAACCTTGAGGTCACATGGCATACTGTTACATTTTTGTTTATTTCTCGAGTATAGTTCATAGCTCATATAACTATAATCACATGCGACAAGCAAGCGTAAGCGGTGTGTTTAATATAATAAAATAATTATGCATGTATATGAGCAATGACCATCGACAAAGTCAGATGGAATCAAAAGATAAAATGAACACCTGAGAATTAATTAAACTATTAACAAACTAGTTCTGTATGTACCGGGATCATGTATGGTTATTGCAAATTACGTATACCCTCATCCGCATATATTACTGGTATATGCAATACTTTGTTTTCAGTGACCCACATGACGTTTGAGAGAGAAGACATATATATATATAATATAAAAATACCTGTAATCAGGGGGATTATGGGGCCAGAAAGGAGTCCAGGAGTGAAGGGGATATGCATAGTGCTTGAGAAATACCCTCCAGTACTGGATACTATCAACTCCATCCTTCATGCTCGTCCCGTATCTCACCGGCTTAAACACATCGTTTGACATCAGCTTCGTTTTCTCTTCCCCTGGCAGCTTGAAATACTCAAACGAACATTTCAATGCCCCCTCCATTACACTCTCGCTAATCCCATGATTCACAATCTACCACAATATCATAATCAATACATGATATGTACATATAAATATATACAAACGCACACACACATATATATATATGTAATATGTGTAATTAATACTGAAACTCACTTGAAAGAAACCAAGCCGGCGGCAAGCGTCGGAAAGTTGAGAAATGAGAGTAGAACGATGGTGGGTATCGGGCATTTTAGCCAGATCAATGACTGGTATATTTGCTACGCTGGGGGCCAAATTTGGACGATCAGCCATCGGAACAAGGTAGCAATCCGGGACGTACGGCAATCCCTTCTCCTGTGCCGAGTTACCCATTGTGTATTTATCGCTACTGCAGCCTTCCATTTCAAGTTAAAGCTTCTTTGAATTTGGATTAATATTGTATCGATCCAAGATGTGGGGGCGTATATATATAGGCGAAATATAAAACAGTTTAGAATTTCTTATTGAGCGCGCGTGGGTTTGATGATGATATGCATGCAGACTTTGTTCATTAGACATGGCCAAAGACAGAAACACCTGCAAGCTATATTCACTGCGTTTTGGACGTGGATTGCAAATGGCGTCTACATAATATATACCTATATATGCCATAGATATTTAACAAGTTGGTAAATTAGAATGCGGCTGTAAAACGAAATAGCACTTTATCGCCCTATTGACTTTGAGTCAGAATGCGGAGCATGTACATGCGGCGTATTGAACCGCTTCAATGTATATATACATATACATGTCTATGTACTATACGTATGACTGCAAAGTCACTGGTAAAATATCTAGATCTTCATATCTGCCTACCGTTTGGGTGCATCACTTGTTCTTTTCGTGATCCATGACGTAACTAAATATTTTCCAGACCTAGACTATTTATAGCATATATCACATAATTAGGTAATACACACATAATTAATTAATTAATTTACATATACAAATCTTAATACAATAATTTAAATTTAAATTTTCTTATAAAAAAATCTACTCGTAAAAATAATCTTAGTTTATGAACTTTTTAATCTTTTAGTTCTTTATTTTTCCTTCTAATAAGTCCTTTTGTTAATTTTTTTTAGCAATTTTTTGCTTAAGTTTATGTTTCAATATGAACAATTTTTTAACAGGTCATTAACACATAACAATCATATTATTGGTTATTATATATTAATACATGCATCCCATTTAAGATATTTTCAAAATTTAAAAAATTCAAGTATAAAATTTTAATTTTCAACTTTTTTCTCTTAAAAACTTTATATAGTTTTAGTTTAAACTCTTATGCCTTAACAGTTAGTGATAGGATAGCTACTATATAGTGATAAAGTATGTATTAATGAATGAATTTAAGAGTATTGGAGAGTTTTTTTTCTGATTTTTTTAATAATTTAAACTATAATAATATATATTTATATATGCACATATATGAATGAGTTCATAGTTCTGGTCTTTTTTTTTCTTCTTTTTGTTAAATTTAACTACAAGCATGATATATAAATCTATATATCTGTCTGTGTTTATAGTTTTTGATTTTCTTTATTCAGTGAGTAGAAGTAAGGTAGTAAAGACAAAATGACGTCCATTTTCAAGGCATTCTGCGAACCAAAGCTAATTTTTTTTTAGCCTATTGGCAAACTTTATCTTTTGAGTCGTTTTCTCCTGAGAAGCAAACAACTTTCGTTGAATAACCATTACTATTGCGAATATATACACAGATGTAATGTATGTATACTAGATAAGTCTCAACTACTAGTAGCGTCGGACTGTGAGTACAGATTACTTGGATACTGGCCGCAAAACAATATATAATCGCAGCCAATTATATTACTTCTTTTCCAGGTTTATAACTGATATATATATATATATATATATATATATGAGACAAGTCACAGCTACTACTAAGTACTGTTGGACTGTGAGTACAGATTACTTGAACACTAGCCGCAAAACAATGTGTACGCACAGCGGCTCATATTACTTCTTTTCCGGGTTTATGACTGATGAATGCATACATATATATATATATATAATATGAACGAAAGGATGGGGAACAACAAGTTGTTAGTATCCTTATACAGAAACGACCATTTTGGGATTATGGCGCTTGCCACGTGGAGGAAAATCTGGTGGGTAACATCCATGCCTAAATCCGTGGAAGCAGAGCACCTGCCGCCCAAATACAAGTCTTGCCCGAGTGCATGCAAATTTAATTTTCTACCCATAGGTTTTGGACCTTTTGACATCTGTTTTTGATAATTAATAAACTAAATTATAAAGAAATTTCTGGGTTTTGATGTTTCCCCGAGTTCATAGTTTTGATTTTTGCTTTCTTATATTTTTAATAAATTGAACTACAACCATAATATATATATCTATACATCTGTATGAGTTCATAGTTTCTGATGTTTTTTTTTTTCAGTGAATAGAAATAAACTAGTAAATCCATGATGACGTACATATTCAAAGTATTCTCAGAACCAAAGCTAACTTTGTTTTAGCCTATTGGCAAATTTTTCTTTTATAATTTTTATCTTTTGTGTTGTTTTCTCCTGAGAAGCAGACAATTTTCATTGGGAAATCATCACTACTAAAAATATATACACACACATATATATATATATATATTAGACAAGTCTCAGCTAGTAATAGTGTCGGACTGTGAGTACAGATTACTTGAATACTGGCCGCAAAACAATGTATATACACAGCTAATTATTCCTTTTCCGGGCTTATGTCTGATGCGCGCGCACACACACACACACACATATATATATAAAATATGAACGAAAGTACGGGGAACCACAAATTTGTTAGTAAAGTTATACAGAAACGACAATTTTGCGATTGTGGGCGCCGGCCACGTGGCGGAAAATCTGGTGGGTAATATCGATGCCTACCGAAATCCATAGAAGCAGAGCACCTGCTTGCCCAAATTCAAGTCTTGCCCGAGTGCAGGTAAATTTAACTTTTTACAATTTAGATTATAATATAAGTGACAGTAGAAAAATATATTTTTACAAGTTGAAATATTATTCAAATAGGTAGATAAACCAATTAGAAGTTAGGTAATCTAATTACAAGCAACCCTCACCTATGTATATATGTATATGGATATATATAATATCCCATAGCTCCGATCTCTACCTATTATATTCCATATTTGCAAATCGTTATTGATCATCATGGGTTATAAGCTGCTTTTTCTTCGCTTAATTGTCATTTGCAGCACTGCATTAACATGCAAAGCTACAACCTACTTGGTGGGCGATAATTCTGGCTGGGAGATAAGCACTGATTTTGATACATGGCCACTCGATAAGAGATTCAAAGTTGGTGATGTTCTAGGTAATTTTCTTAAAAACAAATTTATCTACTTTATTAATTATACAATATATAAGTATATAATCTGTTTGTTAAAACACATATTAGTTGTTTTTTTATTAAAAAAGATGAGAGATTAATAGTAAGAAATTAGTTTACTTTATTAATTAAATTAAAATAACAAATTACATTTTAAATTTGCAGTATTTCAATTCTCTTCATCCCACTCGGTGAATCAAGTAACAAAAGAGAATTACGATGCATGTAACACAACCAATGTACTCAAGTCATATTCGAACGGAAATACAACTGTTGCATTATCAAAACCAGGGGACACATATTTTGTGTGTGGAAATAGATTACATTGTCTTGGAGGAATGAAGCTTCGAGTGAACGTAGAAGATGACGGGTCAGCCAAGTCGCCGATTGGTTCGCCAGAAGCTCAACCAGGATCGTCTCTTCCTCGACCTTCGTCTAAGAACGACAATCCTGTAGCCCTGGTTCCGACTTCAACCGGGTTTCTTCGAGCTGGGAAAGTCTCTTTTCTGCAACCCTTTTTGGCTGTTGTAGTTATCTTACTGCGAATGTTATGAGTTTTTTTTTTTTTTTTTTTTCTTCTTCTTCTTCTTTTTAAATTTGAAAATTTTCTTGTGTTGAATTATTTGGTTTCGAACAAATTATGTACGAATATATAAGCATGATTATAACTGTTATTTGGAGTTATTAAATGGGTCGGGTTCCAAATTGGGCCAAAATGTGTCAGAAAATATTAACCTGAAATTTTTTACTATTTCAAATTAATTTATAGAGCGAGATCAGATAAATTACGTGGAATCTCAAACACCACGTTATATCCATCCGATTTTATTTTACAATTTTTAAAATTTAAAAAATAATTAGAAATTAAAAATTCTGTAATTTTCTCAAAATATATATAATTAATTAACGAAATTATGACTTATAAAAAGGTAACCACAGATTTATTTATCCCCACATTTCTTCTTCCAACCGGCTGCAACACGTCAGACGCGCCTGCCATGCTGCACGCGCTTACTGCCTCCGCGTCTTCCACCTCACCTCTTCTCGTCGCTTCCTCTCTCTCCAAGCCTTTCCTCTCTCCCGCTACGCAGAATCTCTCTCTCTCTCTCTCGGCTGCCAAACACGCCGCGACTTTCCCTCAAAACACAAGACTCTTTTCCATCTACTCATCCCCCATGAACATACTCAACAAGTTGGGTTTTGGCTTCAAATCAAACTCTGACCCGGCTACCATGGAGAACTCCTCGATTGCGCAGGGGCCCGACGACGATGTCCCGGCCCCTGGTCAGCAATTCGCTCAGTTCGGTGCGGGTTGCTTTTGGGGAGTTGAATTGACGTTTCAGAGAGTGCCTGGCGTCACCAAGACCGAGGTCGGTTACTCACAGGGCTTCATGCATAATCCGAGCTATGAGGATATTTGTTCTGGTATAACCAACCATAATGAGGTGGTCAGGGTGCAGTATGATCCTAAGGAGTGTAGCTATGAGAGCTTGCTTGAGGTGTTCTGGGCCAGGCATGATCCTACTACCTTGAATCGCCAGGTAGGTTTCGTGGATTTTTTCTTTTGTGCTTATTTTTGGGCTGAGTATGTTCTGAAATTGGTGGCTTATTGATGGATCTTGTTTTATATGAAAATTTTTCTTCTCTTGTTTTGGTGGTTTAAATTAACCTCGTTCCATATGTGGTGCTTGATTAGGTTTCAGGTAAGTGATACTTGTGCCGGTTTGATCAGAGTAGTGACAGTTTGTGAAGTTTTGAGAGTCATTTTCTTATAGGTACAAGCCTTTTTTTTGGGTCAAAATCTTTGAGGGCTGGAGTATATTGATGCTTGTTTGAATTTTCTTGGAAATGTTATGATGCATTAGAGGCCACTGGTACTTCCTACTGAGAGCTTTTGATTGTCGGCAGAGCTGGGGATATGGATGATTGGGAATTTACTGTTTTTTTTTTTTTTATTTTGAGTATTTGGTAGAGGATTTTGCCTGTTTCTTGATGAGTGACCTGTGGGCTTTCGGTTCATTTTAGTTGTAGATTCTTAACTCTTGTTATAGAAAGCCCTGCATATGCTTCTCTAGGACTTCTTCATTGAATCATCTCATTAGGGTCCATTTCGTTGATATCAAGGAGGATGAGATTAAGGAAGATGATTACTTAATATTTATCCTATGTTTGTTCTGCATTGTTCAAAAGGAGAGAAAATGGGTTTTCTTTAGTCTATTGATACATGCACAATACATTTATGGCCTTGTGACCTGAACTCTGGTGAACCACGGACGAAGTGGATCATTAAAATTGAGTGCCTGACTCTAGTGCTTTTGGCCGTTGCTTGATATGAGGCTGGTGGTGGTGGCTGTGTCAAACCACTACGCAGTGGTTGTTGGAGATCTGTCAATTGCAGTTGATAGAATAAAACTGACTGTTGGCAGGGTGTCTTGTTTTTTATATGGCTGCTTACTGTTTTGATGTAGGGTTATATGATATTTGGACTGGAATTGATGAACAACCAATGACAATATTAGTCTTTGTTACTGTTGAATAAAAATCTAAATGGTGTATAGTCGGTTGTAAGGCAATGGGTTTCGGACTTCTAAGTATGATACCAAGTTTTTTGAAATACTAAGTATGATACCAATTGATGGAATACAAATTGGGGTCAATTTGACTACTTAAAGTTTTAATAAACTTAGACATTGCACTAATACTGCATTTGTTTGGTTCAGTTCTAATTTAAATTTTTAGTCAACTTCGACTTATATTTTTTCATATTAGCTTTATTATGCAAAGTGAGAAAATAATTTGTTGTGTTTTAAGTGAATTCCCACTGAACTTAAGAGAGGATGGTGGTAGTGATTCAGACATCTGAGAGTTAAAACTAGGAGTTGAATGAGATTGAACCAAGCACAACCTTAGATTTCTTGGACACCCCATTAAAGGAAAGGGTTGAAAATTGCAAATTTGATTGCATTATGCAACTGGGTATTGGGAAAACTCTCAAGAGTAATCTATTGACTCATGGCTTTCTTAAAGGTAAAATTATAAAGGTGTATAGTGCTTAAATGTAAAATCTACTAATCTACTGAATCCTAATAGAGAACCTAATACTTTGTAGAATTTAAATTACAAATAAATGTATTTTAGATTAATAATTTTCTTTCTAGCTGATCTACAATTTATTATGATAGCATGGATAACATTAGGTTTCAGTAGCTATAGAATCTATGAGAAACCCATAAACTACCTAGTCGAATAGCTGGATATAGACGTAACACTAATAGTATGTATATAGACCAAAATTCTTATGTAGATGAACTCGCCAAAATTTGTTCTACATCTTATAGACAATTCATATTCTCACTAATGCTTTGTTTGGCAGGAAAACTAAGAAAATCCTACTCTAGCATAAACTGGATGTCTGATCATCTTACAATATGATCATCTTCTATTGAAGTCTTCTTCCTCATGACTTTCCATTTTTTTCATTCTAATTCTCTGTTGTTTTGTCTCCAATGGTTAGGGGAATGATGTGGGAACACAGTACAGGTCTGGAATATACTATTACACCCCTGAGCAGGAGAAGGCAGCGAAGGAGTCTCTGGAACGACAGCAGAAGTTCTTGAACAGGAAGATTATTACTGAGATCCTACCTGCAAAGAAGTTCTACCGAGCTGAGGAATACCACCAACAATACCTTGCCAAAGGGGGCCGTTTCGGTTTCAAACAATCAGCTGAAAAAGGCTGCAATGATCCAATCCGATGCTATGGTTAAGTTGGAGATTGGCCAAACCAGAAAATGTTGTGCAGAGATAGCGGACGTGGATACTTTGTGTTTTGTTCTTTAGCTGATATATTACAGTTAAGAGATACTTTTCCGTCCTAAACATCTGATATATGTAGCTGCAGTAGTTTTAGGAAGGAGAATCCTTTGTCTCTTCTGTATGCGTACTCATTGAAAGTGCTTTCCTCTGTTGTGGAGAGATTAAGTGTAACACCCCGTTTTTTTTTTTTTAATGGTGTACGATAAAGCACTCATACAACACAATACCGAATCCATATTATTCCAACCATGCACAAGAGAAATTTGTCCACCTTCCATGTTCCAAATCAATTGTACATACATCTCCACCTCTACAACACATAGTAATACAATATCAAACATTCCTAGATATTCAATATCCAGACTAAACCATCCTTTCAAACTGCTTTAAATCACAACAAAACTTGTGCCCTGTGGCACTACCGACGGGGCTCCGTTACCAGCCGTTCGGATCCCAATTCCGTTCTTACTCCACCTGTGAATGATGAGAAGTGAGTTCACATAACTCAATACGATAAAAATCAAGTTGTAAGTGTAATATGCAGTGACAAGAATTTCCAGAAATGTCTATATGCATTTATCCTACCCAACCCCAACAACTCATAACCCTCTCCCTACACTAATTATCAAGGTCCTATTCCAAGGAAATAGCACGACCAAACAACCCCACCCACCCAACAATCATCCATTAACTCCCGTCACCAACATCGGCGACTCATACACTCTTCCCCCATCTCCCGACCTCACGAGACCACACACACACCCACCCAACCACCTTCATTCCACGTCACCAATATCGGCGACTCATACCCATATCTCCACCTCTCGACCTAATAGGCCACGCACACACCCACACACCATTATTCCGCGTCACCAACATCGGCGACTCACACTCACTCCTCCACCTCTCGACCTAAAGAGGCCACACACACACACAAATACCATTGTCTCGCGTCACCAACATCGGCGACTCATACTCACTCCTCCACCTCTCGACCTCGTTGGGCCACGCACACACACAAACATTTCCACCTCCCGTCACCACCATCCGTGACTCATGCACCCTTCTACCCCTCTCGGCCTTGCTAGGCCACACTCACATACATATCCCCTCCCCGCTCCACCAACATCGGCAACTCAACCCGCCCCTACCAACGGCCTCCAAATCTCCCCTCCCAAACCGCATGCTCCCATCTCCCCTTATACCATGCTAGCCCCAAGCGTTCTAACTTGCTAACTCCTACTGACCACATTACTCCCCTTCTCCCATCCAATCCCCCTCAAATCCTGTTTCCTAGTCCCCACTGCCGTACCTTCCAGCTCCCTTCCCTCTCCCACTGCCCCCTACCCGCTACCTCCCCCATCCTCCTGCCTCATCCCGGTTCCTATACACTTTTGCCTACCTAGGGCGATTAACCTCTCCGCTTGCACCGTTTCACGCCACATACACGCCCTCACCACCGTGCATTTCGGGGAAACACATCACCGCCTATTAGCGGCTCCCTCCACATCCCCACCCACGCACACACCACGCACACACCTCTTCTGTCCTCTCGAGTTTTTATCCCACCCGCGCCCCCTAGATTGTTCTCTCACATCCTCCTCACTCTGTTCTACCCGCACCACCCCCATCCTTCCCCACGGCTCCCCACACGCCTCCAACACCGCCATACTTTCCATTCCTTCCCCGATCACCTCCGTGAGCGCGCGGGACAACCCCACGCTTGCGGCCTACCTTCACTGCTCCACTCCGTCGCGCCATTGCCGATGCCGCAACCTGCAAAAAAATTCTCTACACACACACACCACACCAACAGCTCAAATTTTCACCGTAC